CCGCGGCGGGTCCGGCTTGGAGCCGGTGGCATTGGCTGCATCAGACATGGGGGAAGCTTCTGGCAGCTTCTCACAGAAGCGACCCCTATGCCCCCCTACCACTACCAAAACCTTGCAAACCCAATACATTCCTTGATCCAGAAGGTCCAGGTCACCAATTTTTGGATGGCCACCTCCATGGGTTTCACACCCAGCTGTGAAGGCTGGCATCTGGAGACAGGCTTTGGGTGTAACGCAAAGGCGCATCATGTTCCTGGTCCCTCTGGCTGGAAGGCTGCTTTCCTCAGGGTGGGCTCATGCTGCTTGAGGGCAGGAATAGCACCAGGGCTTTGCCATGCTCAGGTTTGTCCATAGGGACAGGCTTTGATGTGGCTCTTGCTCTGTCAGTGGTACGGCAATAGGAACGTGGTGGGGCAGAGCCTCGTTGATAGCTCTTGGGTGAAACTATCCAGACCTCAGGTGGATCTGCAGTGTGTCCATGACAGCACAGAGAATGTGAGCTGAGGAGTTGGCCACCATCCTGGGAACATACCTGTGTCAGCTGATGCCAGAGGCTGGTTTGGTGATTCATGGAAATGGAGCCAGCAAGTCCTTGCAGTTGATGCTGGATGGTGGTGTATCTCTTACAAGACATTTTTGTTGGTCCTCTGTGAGATTCTTAAGAGAAACTTGAAATATGGATGAAGGTTGGCAGTGGGGGAGCCAGTCAAACATTACAGTCTTGAGAGACATCAGCACAGGAATGGAACTCGTCTTTGTAATCTTGGGCTATTTACTTGGCTCAGTAACTAACCATGAAATTGTAAACACCAGGTGAGGACAAGGCAAGAGCCTGGTTCACTCTGACCACAGGTTTCTTGGCCAGTGTGCAGTGAAGTCAGGTGACATGTAATTTCCTATTTGGTGGTGACTGATGAACTCAGAAGCTTTCCAGGCCTGCTTTTGGAAAGTTAGTGAGTGCTGGAGGACCTTGCCTGTCCCTTCTGTCTCACTGTGGTGGTTCAGCTTGAAAGAGGTTCATACTTCCCCAGGGAAACCTAGGAAACCTGCAGTGATGATGGTGAAGATAGAGAAGTGTGTATGTGCTCACTTCAAATCTAGTTAGTGAGAGCCATCTGGAGAAGATGCTGTCATTTCTGCTAGTTCCCTGGGAGCAGATACCGAGGAGGAGATGCTGGGGAACTGAACCACTGGGATTTTGAGAAACCTTAAGATAATTTTATAGGGTTCATCTGGAAAGCCGTGTTAGGGATGTGTAGCTGTGGGCAGTGAGAAGGGCTGTGGCTGTGGTCCTGCCCACCTTCAGCTGAACGGTGAACAGGGTCAACATGCTCATTTTGAGGTCTTTTTCAGAAAAAAAGGATGTGATCATCATATCTGTTGAACAGCTTCTTCAAAGGACTGTTCCTGGCTTCAGGTGTGATCAGTCCATCCCTGATTTGCCTGGTGTGCTCCATGTGTGCTGCCAAGATGCAGTTCTCTATCGAGGGGAGAGCCTGTAACAGCGAGGTGGGGCTGAGGGCTGGTGAGGTGCTGCTCGTTGAAGTGTCCAGGCCCTTCCTTGATGCGTGTCTCATGTCGTGCCCCATGGGCTCCTTTCAGAACTGCCTCATCCGAGTGACACCACGGGGCCACGAGGCGCTGGTGACTGACTTTGGGCTGGCCAGGGAGGTGGTGGAGCTGCCTGTGAAGGATGTGGAGAGGAAGCTGTCTCTGGTGGGCTCTGCTTTCTGGATGGCTCCTGAGATGCTGCGAGGAGAGCCCTATGACCGGAAGGTATGGCACTGCTTCCTAGCTCCTTGTTCATCCTCATTGAGAGCTCCCAAGCAAGCATGGGCAATGTCTTCTCTGCTTGCTGGTGATGTGTCCCAACAGCAGAAAAGCCCTTCCCTCCTTTCCCAGGAAATGTTGACCTGCTCCCTGTACCTTTGCTCAGTAGTGCTCTGCTTAGCAACTTGGAGGTTCCTTATGAGACCTTGTTGAGTTAAACTTTTAGGGAAATGGATTGCTGTCATGGACAAATGCAGCGAAACCTCTCTGAGGAAGATGCTTGAGGAGTTACAGCCTGATGAGCCTGTTGCAGGATCTGTGGGGGGTGCTGTGGTAGGAGGACCAGACACATTGAAGAAGAGCGTGGGGCCAGGCTTCCCAAAGATGAGGCTGGACTCCAGGTGGGGCTGTGGTGTTTCTGGGTGGATTCAGAAGCCCAAAAGTAGTTTAGAAGTTTGCTGCCTCCATGTCCAGTGAGCTTTTTTGATGGGCTTTTGCATGACTTTGTTGTTGGTACTCCCCTTCCTCATGCTTTGCTTCTGTGTATGCCCTTTCCCACCTCCTGCCCTCCCATCCCTCCTGCAGGTGGATGTGTTTTCCTTTGGCATTGTCCTCTGTGAAATCCTGGGCAGGATCCCAGCTGACCCTGAAGTGCTTCCCAGGACTCAGGTAATGATTCCTGCAGCCAAATCTAACGGTGTTTTCCCCACAGTACCAGACTGTGGTTTCTCTCTGGACCAGACAGACCTGTGCACACATGTATGTGTTCACACAGATTTCTCTGTAGAGATTTTTCCATGAGAAAATCTGATTTCAGAATTTTCAGTGCACGAGAGTTCAGTGCATCTATAGTCTCAAAACTTTCGTTACATCAACAATTTGAGATGAAGTACTTCTGTTTAAAGACCTTAATTCCAAATACTTAATTTCACGTTGACATTTCAACTTCTCCATTGAAGTGGCAGGTTAAACACAACTTTCTTCAAACGTTTGTTTCCAAATACATTGTGGTTAATGCACAGTTTGTGTGGAAACGGTGGGCTTCCCTAAAAACGTGGCCTTTTTTATTTCAACATCTGCAACATTTCCCTTCCACAAAGTGGGGAGGGAAAGTTTATCCTGAACAGGGATGAAAAATCCAGCAGGGAAACAGGGAACTGCTGCTTTCCAAGGAGTAATGAAAAAATGAACAAAACCTGCAGTGACCAGAGATTATTCCATGTTTCTGTGGGACTGAACAGGAACTAACACTCTATCTGTGTTCACAAGATGAAGGAGAATTACATATCAGAGACTGAAGTCTGGAGGGACAAAGCTGTAGTTATGGAAACAGCTGGCTGGACCCCTTTGACTCTCGGTTGCTGTTGGAAGACCAGATTATCTGCAGTTCCTGTCCTCAGCAGCCACTGCTCAGCACCTGGTGCTGGTTGCTCTATGGGTTTCTGCCTTTGTGGCTCTTGTTGCCTTAGTCTGAGCTTTTCCAGGAGGACACATACTGCCCCGCAGGGATAGCACAGAGCAAGCAGAAGGATGCTGCAGACTCCCAGCTCTGCTAATGATTTACCATCTGTGCAGTCCTGCCAGAGTTGATGTTGCCCTGGTACCTTTGGATAGCCATCAGTAAAATAGCCATGATGGAGACTCTTAAAGCTTTAAACCGTGAGCATTTTATGCTTTAACACCTTGAGAAGGATGAAGAGCTTTTAAAGGACTTTATAGCTGAAATTTTTTCTACCTACTTTCCCCCGCTTCCTCACAGGATTATGGCTTGGATGTTAATGCCTTCCAAGGGATGATCAGTGAGTGCCCCAAGCAGGTGATGGACCTTGCTGCTAGCTGCTGTCGGGTGAGATTCTTGCTAGTTTTTTTTTCCCTTGATTTTGTCGGATTTGTATCACACTTATATGACAGAGACCAAAATTGTTATGAACCCTGGAGAGCTTGAACCTGCTGCTCTCAGTGTTAGCACACAGGGCTCTGCCACTTGAACTGTGATGAGATCTTCCTCGGCCAGTAGTATACTTTCATCCACTGTGCAATTTTGCATCTAGCAGAAGTGTTTAGTTTGTATATTACAGCCCGAAGCATCCCAAGGTCCTGCCTGTTCCCTTGCATGTCAACCCCAGAGTGGGAAGCAGGTTGGTGATGATGTCCAATCCCTCCTTAAGTCAGACTGTAGGCAGAGGCTCCTGGCTGATCTTCTCTGGAGGGCAGTGCCTGTTGCCAGCCCTGGTGTTACAGATATCATCAGAGCATAGTTCTCCACCCTTTCTTGCTTTAGCATAAAAGGTAATGGTGAAAGCTGAGGAAGCCTTACCATGCTGCCCAAAGCCTCAGAAGGCAAAGCAGAGAGAAAGCAAGGATTCAAGTTAATCTCTGAAAGGAAGACAAAAACAAAGACAGTAATCAGGCAGAGAGTGGAGAAGCTGGATGATCATAAATGCACATAATTGCTAGGAGCTCAAGGCAGCAAATGGAAATAAATCCTTGCATGGGTCCTGAGGACATGTGAATAACTTGCTCTGAATCAGAGGAATGATTCATGTCAGCAACTGGCTTAGATTTCTGTGCTCAGATCTTGTATCTCTGATGGGCAGCTTCCTAATACAAGTTGATATAATAACAGTCTTCTGCCAGGAGTGGCCCTTGGGGCTGTTCTTCTCTGCCCTTGTGCGATGTGCAGGTTTGGGGAGTTTCTGGTGCAGCTTCCCAGGCTGGCACCACAGGGTCAGGCACAAAGGGCAGCCCCAGCATGGCACGGTGGGGCTGTGGGATGATGGTGCCCTGGGCCATGTCCCTCACTTTGGGTACACCCCAATGTCACTGGGAGGGCTGAGGACGAGCTGCATCAGGGAGACAAGACAGTTAGATCCTGACTGTCATGAAGAAGCTCAGGGAATGATACATCTCCCTCCTGATACCTACCTGCAGCCTTTCCCTGCACAACACCCACCCGTGCATCCTTTGCGTGGGCTTTGGGATGAGCAGTTCCCACACCCTGTCCATGTTGGGGTGTGTCAGGCTGGTTTTCAGCATCTCACTGCCTCTGCTTGAGCTGTACTGCACCATGGGACCTGTCCTGCAGCTGCAGCCCAGGTCTGGATCACCAGGTGGTAGGTGATGCCAGAAGGCTCCACTGGCAAGTGTGTGACCCAGACTAGTTCTAATGATGGATGGATGCCATTGCCCAGCCTTGGGGGACCCAGCAGAGCTGCTGCAGAGCACCTACCTCCTGTCCAAGATGTCCTCTTCACCTTTCCCTTCTCGTTCTAGGTGGAAGCATTTAAGAGGCCATCTTTCTCCGAAATCCTGGATGAGCTGGAGGATGTCGTGGAGAGCCTGGAGCCTAGGAGGGACAATCAGCTTTCAGGCTGAGCTGCCTGCCTCCTGTGAGGCTCGGCAGAGAATTGCCCAAACTGTAAATTAACTATCTGGTGGTCAGGAGTGAAGGAAGAAGGTGGGGAAGGGAAGAGCTAAGTGCTGTGCTGCTGTTTATTTAATCATAGTCTCAGTCTTTAATTTCTTGGATGGAAAAAAAAACCAACCCATGGTTAAAAATGGAGAAGGGACTTAACCAAGGGTGTATTTTTCCTAGCTGAGGTTTTTAACAGATGTAATTAGGACACCGAGCAGCCTTTGTCTGTTTGCTTGTTAAAAGCGAATGATCCTGGAGGGACCTGAGTTCCTTGAGGATGCTTTCCAAATCCCTGACAGAAACATCGTCCTCTCCTGCTTCTCTGTGCCCTCTGGACCCAGGGCCTTCCCGTTCTCCATCCCCATGTCCTTGGGGAATCACCTCTCAGGTGTCTGGGGTCTGTGCGGTGTGAAGGAGAGAGGCTTTGGGCTGCTTGGTGAGCCTTGGGATCGCCTTATGTTTCAAAGCCTTAAAGCACCTGTCTGACAGCCTGGCAGGAG